GCCTCTAACCCTATGCCTCAGAGGGCAGCGCTGCTCAGATGCCTCACCACAGAGATGCCTGGCTCTGAGGAGCCACGATCTGCCTTCAGACTTACAACCCAAAGCAGGGATGATACGTAAATTATCACAATGATCCGATTTAGAGAGCAACTTGGACCAAAAGCATGGTAGAAAAGCCCCCATAAATTCTTTACCCTTGAGTTAGGAAATGTAGAGACAGGTCTGACTCTGCTGAAGCTGCTGGGCATGGTAGAGGCACTGCCCAGGAGCTCTGTCCTGCACCACAGCGGGGACAGGCGTTATCTCTACCGAGAATGTTCTTGACAGGGAAGTTCTGCACAGTTACCTCTGCAGAAGAGAAACTTTGGACCACAGGACCTCAAGGAGGTGCAGATGTTTGATGCTACTCCTTTTCTACACCAGTTCCAGGGGGAGGCAGGAGATGAGCTTCCCTAAATCCACTGCCAAATCTACGAGTCCCTGTGTGCCCTACGAGTCCCTGGTGCCTCTGCCCAGCACAGGGGCTTTTGGGACAGACCTTCGAGGAGCTCAACTCACACTTAACACCACCAAAAGGAGCCAGCGATCAACTCCAGTTTACTGATCCTTCCTCTTGTTGTCAGCAGCAGAACTTTTAAGCAATACTGCACCAGATCTGGAGGCATTTGAAACGAATATTTGATTTTGCCTTTGATTACTATTTAAATATACAATAGTAAAGGGTCTATGATTAATACTATTAACATGATTGATTAATTACAATTTTTTAAATGTCAAACTGCTTCTGAAATTAGGTAAGCAGAAGTGCAATGATTTTTTCCAATATTTCAAAGTCCGATTTGAGCATATTGCAATAGGTCTAATGTATTTGACAAGTAAACGATACGCAGTTGAAAAAATGTCTGGAGAATTGCTAGAAGAGTTCTACTCTCTTTACTCTGAAATGACAGTATATCAATAATATAAGCAGTTATAACAGCTGCAAGTTATCAACAAAATGTGACTAAAAGCAGCATTTCATACTATGTATCAGAAAATACTAGAGCAGTTAAAAACTGGCTAGCATGGAAATTCACAGCATAAAAAAGTGTTATGTCATATATATTTATATTTACCACATATAAACCTAGCTGATTCATGATCTAGGTCATTTTGTTTTCAGAAGTATATAAAAAGCTGGTCTATGCAATACGGATTCCATAGTCAAGGCATAAATGACAACATGTTTTGCAGCTTCAAGTGTGGAGACATCTATTTCCTCTATTTGTCTAGGCCACAAGAGGTAGGCTTCTTTTGGGGACATTTTATTTTATTTTATTTTAAACTTTGCAAGAGAAATGATGAGCTCTCATGTTTTTACTCAGTATTAAAGGCATCAGACTCATCTGAGGAGCTGACAGAAAGCGTCAGTGTTTAGACTGAAGTGCTAACCATCTGTTCGAGGTTGTAGGCTTGACTGTCACTAAAAAAAAGAAAAAAGCTACATCATCTTACAGGGTGAAAGGATAAATGCAACTCACAGTTATGGATAGCAACTACAATTTGCAAGTGTCAGGAGTACTATTTACAAGTCTACATTTTTATATAAAATTACAATACGTATTTACATTCTGTTTCTTTAGTAGCTTCTCCTGATACTGTTTCAAGTCTGGTTCAGTTTTAGTTATTTACAGATGTTTAATATGTAGCATTTGATGCTTTGATGTTCTCTTTGTTTTCTTCTACTTCATATGAAGTTCTTTATTTTAAATAGTAGTTACATTACAACGAACTGGGACATCTAACCCAATTACTTTTGGAAAATGTCACACAATACTACGAGAGAATGCTATCCAGAAAGACCAAAGCTGTTAACTCAGGCAAACTAATCTCCTAGCAAGTTACTAGCCATTTCAGTTCCTGCAAGTATCCTGATTTCTCTAATCTCTACAGTGCTCTGTGTACAGATTGTGTAACCATAACCTCACCGCGTCACTGCTGCAAAGAACAGACAAGCTACGATGAATGAAGGAGGATGGCAAGAACTGGATACGTTTGTGAACTATCCAACTCCATAACCACCAGTTACTGATAAAATAACATTTACTTCTACTACTGGGCAGTATTTTTCCTAAGTAATCCCATCTTGGTTGTACTTTTGTGTGTTCCTTAGTAGTTTAGCTTCTTTAGCTGTGGCAACAATTATAAAAATGGAAGACATTGCATAGTAAGAGTATGCAAGTCAACACAGGGAACTTGTTTTTCACTCTATTGGCAGAGTGCATCAAAACAGAACTGAACTCAAGAACTTGATTTATTGACAAAAACTCCCAGTGCAGTATCTGGAAAGTCTTACACTACTTCAACTAAGCATCCAGCAGAACCATAAAGTTACATGTACATTGGTAAACAGGTCTTGGACTGTCTTCTGGCATAAATCCTGGTTGGAACAGAATAGCCCACACCCAAATTATTAATTTTTTCTCTTCTAAAACAGGATGGTAACAGCCTGAATTAGCTTCTTGACCCTTGCCTAGAATTATTTGGGCCAAAGCCGGGCTACAGCGGGGACTATTCTAATAATCTATTAAAAAGAGTAGGGGTTGAGTGTCAGGGGATTTTATCTGGCCTGGTATTGCTTCTTAGTACAAATGCAGTCCAAGGCCAATCTGTGGGGGGAAGACTTAGTCAGGAGAATCATTTAAAGACCATCACACCAGGACAATGGTTTCCCTAGACTCTGTCATACAGGCAAACTCAAGCTTCACTCCTGAATAATGTCTAGAAAAAATGAGACAAGCTCTGCACCTAATAATAACAGCAATGACATTCAATTTCCAGCAACAAATTACAGGACCTCATATCAACCATGTCACTAGGGTTATTGGGATTTAATTTAGATTTTCTTTAATTATTAGAACTATTTTGTTCCTTTAAGAGTGCATTATTAAAGACACCAAAATAAATTCATTTCATTAATAGTTCAATTATTAAACTATCTCTGTACTTGGGTTACTCAGCCTTTGCAAAGCTTTGTAAAGTGCTCTCAAGTTCTCTGACAAAAAAAAAATACAGGCTGTGTCTTTATGAATGTTTCGGAGGCATCACTGAAAGCTATCTGACCCAAGCAATTTAAGATACTAACGCAGTATTGATAAGATATTTAGCATTAAATAAGTGCCTACTTTATTTCTTATAGTGATAATTTGCTGGTATAAAGTGAAATTGGATGCCTGGTACAGAAAATTTGTAAAACATTATTACTTGGATCCTAAATTATTATGAATCCCGGTGCTTTCAAAGCATTAGCAAAAGGAAAAATTCCAACAGTGATTTAGAAGTTCATTCATGTCAGAGCTATCTCCTGGGATAGTCTTGAATGGAGACAACTGTTTTGAAAAGCCATATGGCTTTTCCACTAGCTTAAATATCTCAACATTTATTAATCATTAATAGTAGCTTCCAATGTCAAATAAGAAATGGAATAAACCTCTAATTTTGTTGTAGGGTTTCCCAGATCGAAACTTTGGAGATCAAAGCTAAAATACTAAGTTGGAAACTGATAACAACAATCCCCAAATTAAAATTAGATAATGGTTTAAAATTTCTTTTCAGTAAAACAGTAGTTAAAAGGTGGTACTGTGGACATTTGTGACAATGAAACTACTTATCTACTTTAAGATATAATCATGCTAGTCTTACATTTTAATTAAGCAGAAAAGTAACGTGCAGAGACAGACAAGGATTCATATCTAACTCCCTGAGGGCTTCACAAACTACTCTGGACTTGATGGAAATCACAGATCTCGAACGCAAGAAGAGAGAGAGAAGCAGTCGAAAGCTTCACAAAGATGCCTGGCAATGGGTCACTTCCAAACACCTAAGAATCATGACTTAGCCTCTGTTTTTCCTTAAATGAAGGTTTTAAAATGAGCTTACAAAAGTTACAGAAAAGAAAAAAAGGTCAAGTCTGAGAGCTTTTGAGAGTTTTGCCTACACTCAGTGTTGAGAAACAGTTGCTTCTAAAATGGACTTTGAGTTTCCTATTTGATTGATTGAAACTGTCAGAAAATTACTAAACATTGCAAGACAAAAATAAAAATCTGCAAGAAATGAAAACACTGAATCTCCTGAAGGTTTAACTGGAAACCACAGCCCACAAAAGTGAGGAGAAGGTGGAAGGGAGGAAAAAAACCTTGTTTTAAGAATCATAGTTTAGAGAGTTTTTATAGGCTTTCCAGTTTTATTATGTATTTGATGGCTTATTCAAACTGCTTTGAAGCTAAGAAAACTCGCACTGATTGTTTTAAGGCTTTCCATTTTTCTGAGGTGCCTGCCTTTCTCTCCCCACCCCTGCAACTGTGCCTTGCAAAATATACACTGCCACATTGTGACAATTATCGATATAAATTTGAGAGATTTCTATTTGCTCTTGACTTTACAGTAGTTTAACATAAATTCACACTGGCAAAACCTGTCCATTTATGTAAATTATACCAAATTTTTCATTTCTCATACAGGACAACATTTACGATTTGCAGTCTGTTGTTACTGGAATGCACAGACCAGACAGTGATCGGACCTGCAAGGTCTGGTCTGGACCACAGACACATCCCTAAGCTAGGCCAGAATAAAATAGTGTCAAGATTGGGCATGTGCTAACTGAAAGTCAGAGCTTCTTAATAAGCTTAGAAACTCGTGGATTCCAAATCAGCAAATCCGTATCAGGTAGACGTATCATTTTGCTTGGAGCTAGTTTAGACATTTAGAAGAATGCAGCCTTGTGAATTCCAGATGCACAATAAATTGCTGGTCAAAAAAAAAAAAAAAAAAGAAGAAGGAAGCGATCCTTTTGCCATAATTATTAAATTTTAGCATTCTAAAAACAGACAGACACCACTCCAAAAATCCAATATCTCTACAGCCAATAGAGTACTGATTTCTCTCTGATATACACATTTTCCCCTCCTGCTCTTGCATTATAACATTTAAGAGGAGATCCCATATTTTGATATAATTACCTGATGGTATTTCTTCAGTATGTTGTGCATTTCTGCTACATCTTCACTTGTTATAGTTTTGATGATATATCTTTTGTCGTAAGATGTATGAAAGCGGGCACCACTGCGCGCTTGGGAATCATTGGCAAGTGGTGCACTTCTTGTCAAGGAATTCTGTCAATTAGTCCAAAAAAAATCAAGTCAGACAAAAATATGCAAGTTTTAATTAAAACAGGTAGAGAACACATACAGTTATTTTAAAATCTTTTTTCAAATCATTTGCACTAGTTGAACTCTACTATAGCATGTATCTCAAATCGACAAATCACTTCAAGATATGTGCAAAAGAAAAGAGTGGTTGAAGGAAGGTATCGGCCATCAGTAATTTAAAAATCACTCATAAAGTTGAATTAGATTTCACTGTGCTTTGCTACATATATGTTATCAGCTCTCAGGACAAACTACATAGTCTTATAAAAAAGAATCATCATATTACACCACAATAATTATACATACAGGATTCATTAGCAGTATCATTTTACAACTGAGCAGTGTTTTTCTTGAGCGAATGTGATCTGGTACACAACCCAGGACTGAGAGTTAGATTCTGAGCTCTGGCCCCAGAGCTATTCCTGTGATTTGGTATCTAGCCCATCACCATCCTGTTCCTCCTTTTGTCAGATAGACCCAACTACCTTTAGACAAGCTCAAGTGCAGCTGATCAGTTAATTAGCTAAAGTTCAAGTTAATAGCTTGAATTTAAGAAGCCACTGGAACACATGCAAGTAAGTGTCCATTTTTAGGGTTGCTTATACTTTTAAATTGTGTATAGGAATCCCACTGGCCTCAATGGGCCTTAAGCATATTTAAATCCTATCACATATGTGGGATGATTTCTGAATTTAACATTAAGTGAAAGAAAACCAAAATATTTTCCCACAAGGCTTCTTAGTTCAAATGAAATATTCAGGATCAGTAGGAAAAACAGGAATACATTGCCTAAATGTACCAAACTTTAATAAGTTTTCTTGGAATGAAAACCTAATTATGACACTCATGTAAGAAAAACACATCTTTGTACATTACTCCCTTTTTATAGATAGGTGATGATTTTTGATTTTTTTTTATAGAAAAGTGATGTTTTCTTCTCCTATTCTCTCAATTCACTACAGAAATAAAGGATACAGATGTTCCCTTAGTGCTTGCAAATAACCAGTTCTTTCAGACTCATGAAAACAGAACTTTTGGGACAAATACTGTGGACTCAGTTCCTTCCTTAAACTGAGTTTTCATAGTCAATTAACAGATGAGAGTCCTAATAAGACAACCACTCCTTCCAGTTTCAGCTACCTCCATCACAGTTTTCAGAACCTGATGCTGCATGACTTCACATGGTATGAAAACACTAGTTATGGGAACTCAGAAAACAGAAACCTGCAGTAATACTTATTTTCTATCTGTTTTCAGATGTTCCATCTTCAAATTCCTTCCCCACTTCTCCACCACTGAAATGTTTTTATATGCTGCGGAAGTCACCTCAACAGGAAAGGTATCATAAATGGATCAAATTCTCTTAATGTTACATTTGTTGTCAGGGCTCTGATGGTTTGAAAACTGAATTATAGATTTGTCTTAGAAACTATCCTTTGTAGGAGGCCTCTGGCTTCTAGAGCCAGGGCAAGACCTCTTCAGAAACAATGACAAAGCGAAGACGATACAGAGGACTCAAGTTAGCATTAAGATAACACACATGAACATTCTTCCCCAAAAGACTTCTCAGGAGTCGGAATGAAGGAGAAACACTTCAGAATAGTTTCACTACAAGTAGAAACATGCTGCTTCCAGCCAAGCGTCTCTGGAGATCAATAGTGCAAGCAGTGTGTTAACAGAGCTACACCACGAGATGCTTCTTCTCTGGAGCAGTCTATGTCTTAAATTCAGTAATTTTGAGGCCATAAAGGGACCAACCCATTTTTACTTCAAACCTCCCAAATGTCTATGCTCATGCAAGCATAAACTGCTTCATCCGATGATTAAAAATAATATCTAGTATATAGGTATGATTATGTAGCAGCCCATGAAAACTAATATACATTTATCCAAGTTCTTAATATGTTAGATTCTCATGTTGGAATATGATACTTGATGCATTTCAGTACAGACAGCATAAGCAATACAAAATTTTGACTTATAAAGTGTGACAGTTGTTCAAGTAAGAATCAACTAATACTCCCTTTACCATGCTTCTTTTCATTACAGCTCAGACAACATTTAAAAAAGAAACTAGCCAGATTTGGTAAATCATGTTTTTTTCCCCTGACTCTTGTCTTTTCCAGCAGTAGCTGTTTTTCTAGTGGAGATGAATTCTGCCTGATTGTTAGCTGCAATAACAGCTGATTTGCAAATACAACTATCATTCTAAATATGCTGCTAACAAGGGAATATAGTATTCCCTTGTATAATACATCTGTATTATATTCTGTACATGCAATAAGTACTTAGCACGCAATTTACTCTTTCTTAATGCTTTAAAAGGTTAGAAATGGTAATGCATTTATGAGCAGATGGCTATTTTATTATTAATTATCTATATCAAGCTTAATAAGAATTCACACAACTAACATTTTATCATATATATATATATATATATCTTTTTTTAAGGAAAAAAACATTCTTATGCTAAGCAGTGCTGTTATGTTCATGCTCAGGTAATCCAGATGCCCTCTCTGCAATATTCTGGCTTTAGTAATTATTAGAGATTGAAAGGATGTTAAATACCAAATGTGTTTATATTACAATACTTCTGGTGTAGGG